GAGCCGCTCTGCTTGAAGATGGTGCTCTTCAGCCGAGCTATCCTTGATGTTACAAGCAACCAGATCAGCGATCTCCTGCATGCTTGCGACCTCGCTGTCTCCAAAATTCAGATGCGGCGTCTTATCCACTACACAAACAGCGCCAATAGTAGCTTTGTTCACATCATGAATCGGGACCGCTGCGAAGAACCGGATCTCCTGATTGTCATAATGATTGTCCTGCGCGAGATCACGGATGACACATCGGGTGCTGTTGGCAATAACGTTGGGAGTATCGACGACATGAGCCTCAGCCAGGCGCAGGCTCAACACCTTTGCTTGCCAGTGACCCTCGTCAACACCAACCCCGCCCTCTCCATCTAACAGGAGAGAAGGTAATGCTTCCGCGATGATATTTGCCTGTCCTCGCTCAAAACGAATCACAAACGACCGGCTACAGCCGAACCGATACGTCGCCAATTGTGCGTAAGCGATCAAGGAAGCCGCTGAACTTGACTTGTCTCGCTTGTGGATTGTACCTCGTGCACTAGCTGCCTCGATGGGCTCGTTGATTCCATCCTGAGAGTGAAACGAACGAACCCTATTCAGTCAGTAAAAAGACTCGTTCAACGCAAAATGAAGCATGAGACATACTCGTCCTGCTCTAGGACCGTTCCTTGTGCAGTGCTCAGCAGAGGTGATACCGCAGAGCCCGACAGTGGCATGATCGAGTTAGCGACGCATCCTAGACTTGGTCATACAAGCTTGTTCGGTGATCAGAGATCGACGCAGAATGGCAAAAGCACAGCGAGCTGTCACCAAGAATGTACAGAGTACATGTCGGAAAATTTGGGGGAACTGATGAAGAGCTCAAATCCCGGTCAAACTGTGGGGGAAAATATCTCCGGTCGTCTAGACCATGGACAAGAAAACAGTCAGCAGATAGCTAGGTAGACCAGGCAATCCAGTACACGGTGTCATTGGCCGTTGACCCATTTGTTGTGCTCACGGATGGCTCCGGTCGATCGCTGACTTCAGCATTCGTCCATGGTTCCGTCTCGTCTAATGTCACCCTGCTGCTAAGTAAATTTTCCGAATCTCACAGCCAAGACCGAAATTTGTCGGGCAGTATGATCCCGACATTCAGCCTTACGATCCTTTAATAACGGAAAGGATCAAGCATGAGTAACGTTAGCCATCTAATCGTGTTGTTTCTTCCCTGCCTGGAGAAGAAGTGCGAGGGAGACAAGGACAGATGGTCGCAGATCGATACATTCGATGGTTTGGTTCGACCAGAGAGATGCCATCCATCACCGTCAGTGCAATTACTCCTACGGCGTAAGGTAAGGTAGAATGTTTGGTTCCAGCATCCTCCTTGTAATGGGCCGTGGATCGGTCCGGAGATACTCTTTTTGCGAGGGAGGTGCTGCATGCGGAAAGTGGTGGGCGACCGATTCAAAGCGTCGACTGGAGATTTATTCCACAGAACATGGGGCGTATATTCACGGTAGAAGAGAACGTTAACGTGGAAGATATTACTCTGGATATCAACTTGACCAGATCTAAATTGTAGTGAATTTTCCCTAATTTTGTATGAGTGTCATGGATATATATTCTTCCATGGGCCGACAGATGAGACGAATGTACCAGAGGTAACACTATAAAAGTTGGTCTTAAACTGAAATCCATACCTGCTAAGGCTAATTGTGCTTGAGAAGCGAAATTGAACTCTTGAAACAAGGTAGGACAAGTTTCATTGTTGTCCAGTCTAAGCAACTTGCTCGGAATACAAAAAGTAGATTCGTAATCCAAGTTTCATACATGGCTAAAAAGTGTATGACCTCATCTCGGGATCCTGAACCTCGGCTCAGATAGAGACATTGATCAACAGGCTCAAATTCTCCGGATTGGAAAGATACCGGGGGAATCCCGACAACAATAAGATCTTGTAGGCGAAACCTGGTCCATTTCCCTCTCAATATTCGACCGGGCTTATGATGATATCTCGGTGGTCGAAACCAGCAGACTGCTCCCCGTCTCAGCCATGGAGGACAGAATATTTACCTTCTCAGAATGGAGCTCAGATAGCAATAGTTCGCAGAAGAGTCCTTAGCCTTAGACAAACAAGGTTTATCCTCAAACAAAGCGGAGATTACCCAGCGAACGGTAGCATTGCATGTGTTTCAGGGTGGTATCGGCATTCCGAGGTGGACCAGAAGTGAAAGTCTATACGACGGCGTAGTAAAGCCAAAGCCAGCGATCAGCAGCTATACTGTGAATCGCTTAATCCGGCCGGAATTAAAGTGTCTGCGAAGGGTTCATAGTCGGTTGGATAGAGAAAAACGCTTCAAGATCCATTGTGGAAAAGTCAAAATCCCATCCCAAGTCCGACAGATTGAAATCCGGGAGGTCCTCGCTGCTCCCAACACTAGCAGAGGCCTCCGGGATATCGCTCTGAAGCGGGTTGACTTGAATGTTTGGCATTGTGGGAAGGTACCCTCCCAGAAATGTGTCACCAGGGAAAGCTTCTCGCATAGGATTTGTCTGGCTCGATGCGACTCCACTAGCATAGGGGTGAGATGATGCCGGGCCCATAGGGTTTGGTGCATATGCCCGACCCTGGACAGGTCCAGGTGGCACCCATTCATATGACGGGTGCAGTTTCTTCAGGACAGTTTGTATAGCCGAAATAGAGCTTGTGATGGGATCTCCCGGCCGCATGGCTCCAAGACATTGGATGCCCACGTGAACCCATGGAAGGTGGGTAGGAGCAACTTTCTCATTATACATGAAGTCGTAAATAAGTGCAAAGCAGGCACTGGTCACGAAGAAGCCATGATAGCGAAGTTCCTAACGACTTTTTGAGCTCCGATATGTATAGAAATCCGGTGTTTGCATACGGGGAAAGCATACCCGAACAAATTCATTGACGATAGCAGCCTCACATAAATGATGGAGAGTTCTGCACGCAGCGTGGACCGCGTGGTCGCACGCCTCATTCAGCCACGCCGGCATTTCCGTCGGACGTTTAGTTGCGTTGGGCCCAGTCTCGGAAGAAGACTTTTTGGTATCGCGCTGCCATCGCCCGCGAAAGATCAAGAACGGTCGAAATGTCAAAAGGATGGTGTGATAGTATACTATATTTCTTAAGCTTGTCCGTCCATTACTCTGCATATCAATGACTTACAAGTTATGAGAATGGCCTGCCGAACTCCGACATCACCCGGCTGGGGGCATTTGTCAAGCCCAAACCCGAGAGCAAGCTTCATTTTCTCGTCGTAACAACGAAGGTCTTCTGAGATGGATCTGGCCAGCTTCCACATTTGCAGCAACGAGTCGTGTGGTCGGCCGTAAATTTCGTTTGCCGAACGAGCCATGACGTTTGTGAGGTGTTTAAGAATGAGAATGAATGGATCCTTGGGAGGAGCAATGCCAACGTCCCTCGACGAGAGCGAGCTTGGGCGGCCAAGGTGAAAGCAAATCCAGCTAATAAGCCGTCAGCAGACCAGTTTACAAAAGCAGAATCAGTGACCGAGGACGGACGTCTCGTAGAAAAACAAGGACCAAAAGGTCAATCGTCTTTGCTCCACTATTTCCCTACCCTCTCCTCCCTCAGTTGGTGATTCCTTGTGCAAGCCAGCTGAGATGGCCTTCCTCGCAGCTGTGCCCAGATAGAGAAAGGAAGAGTTTGGGCGACCTTGCTCCGTTTGAAAATGGGCGTGCTAACCAAGCGTCAGGCATAAAACTTACACCACCGAGGGCAGAATATACTTATCATCATCAATGACAGCTGTATAGTCTCGAGATTAACCACGTCGTCCCAGGAAGGACAAGACGCCTTGACCCGCTCGAACAGAATATCTCCCCAGCGATAATGCTGTGTGCCCAGGGAGCCCATGGCCAAAGCCATCAGTAAGATGGAATTGGCACAGGTGTCAGAGCCGGTACCAGAGGAAGGGAGATACAAGTGTTCTAGCTGGCGCTCATAAAGCTCTTTGGCCCAGAACGGTACCAGATGGTACAGCGTTGACAAAAATCTTTGCAGGAATATTCTGGCGAGCTCATACGGCAAGAACATCACGGGTGCGACTGTAGTACTAATCCCCTTATTGGGATCATACGTCTCGGCTGGAGTACCGAAGAAGATGCCCCGAACACTGAACATATCAAGCCCAGCCCCAGCCTCTTCGACTTCGCCCTGCGGCTCCTCGGGATGAGTGGTTTGATTCGAAACCAAGCCCCGGTAAATCTCATGCATAAGAGTGAAATGGGACGTCGGTCCATAGTACAGTTGCACCTTGCATGACGGAGATGCCATGTGCGTTGCTGAAACACTGTTGTGGAAAGTATAGCTGGCTGATTTGTTTCGGCGGCCTAACGGCTGGGGCAGCGATGAGGATGGCCGCTGTGTACCAAGCTCAGAGCGCGTAGATTCACGGGAAGCCAGGCCCTCGTCTACGGCGCCATGCTTCTTTTTCTTGCGCTGCCGGATCACATCCCGGTAGACACATGGAGTGTTCCGCACCCGACAGGTCTTGCAGGGGTTGACTCCATTACACTTGATCTTTCGCTTTCTGCATTCTTGACAAGCCTTGGGTATTCGCCAACCGGATGGCTCGCCTGATTGAAGGGTTTCAGCCATTCAATAAAGTAACTGAAATAACCGGACCCTAAGGGGCAAGTTGTTCTCGTTGCTTTGTCCTTCGGATACGTCACTGGAGAAAATTTCGGATTTACGTCACGTGACTAGTCCGTATTTCCGATTTTGTCCCCCACGCTGTTTTGCTACAACATCGAGACTGAGGTGAGAAGACGCTCCGCGACGTTCTATCCCAGCTTAATAACACTTAGAGCGTTACGAGAGGGTTAGCTATGCTAAAAGAGCAGGGGAGGCCTCGTCTATTGCTTCTCGCGGACTATCCCACCAGGCAATAGCCATGACTCCATGACCTCTCGTCCTCTCCATACTCCATTCATGCAGGCGGGATCGCAAGCTATCCATAAGAGCAAAAATTCATTCTGCAGATGCATAGACTAGAATATAGCGACTTAGCAAATCGCTCATAGAATTTCAGCTGAAGAAACTAGACTGAGCCTGTACGCCCATGCCTGGTGGTTGACTCAGACAGTTACGCCTCAGCGATCTAGGCAGGCCTTTTTGAATGGAGCAGATACCGTAACGGAGAAGGATACCTAATGTGATGAGGATTGACAGTACTCCGTACTTCGGAGAGACTTGATTCAGCTTGGCGAACCTGCATCTGATGCCTGGCTCCATGCTCAGGTCAAGGATGATAAGGAGAAGAGTACTCCGTTCTTCGGAGAGACTGATTTAGCAAGGAGATCGTGTGTCTAATGCCAGACTGGATGTGCGGGCAAGGATGAAGAGGAGAACGGTACTCCGCAATTCGGAGACTTGATTCAATCAGGAGAGTCTGCGTGCGATACCTGACTCGACTCATGCGTCAAGGATGATAGAGAGGTTACTTTATCGCTTTTTTCCTGATCTTTTCCTGTCCCAACCAGTAAATTCGAAGATGCCAAGGCATGCCTCGCCTCCTTGGCACGGCTGGGGGGACGGGATTCTATTCGAAGTGAGGACGCGAAGAGCTTGGGTGCTATGGCACCTTGGCAGTGAGACAGGATATGATAAGACTTTCATACTGATGCAGAGTCTGTATCTTTCGACTAGGCATGAGAAGCTCACAGCAGCGCACCACTCGCGAGTAAAAGTGACAGTGACTGTTGAGTATAGGCCGAGAAATGGATGGACCAAGTTCGGCGAGGAATGTTTGGTGAGGATGATTTGCCTCATAAATCACCAAACCAATGAATTTATTCCAGCTGCCTGTTGAATAAGAGAGATCAGTGCCATTCACTTGCTATTCACTCGAGTTTTCCTTTTAGGATGGAAAATCACGCCTTCCCAAGCTCTTGTTTTGGTTGCAGCCGCCAATTAGCCGATTCATTCAACTTCATCGTCGAAACGACCTCTTCCCCACATCCCACACTTGGTGCTTCCCAATGTTTTATTGTCATTGGTCACTCCATCAATAAATAGTCCATAACTCAATTCCGGGGTTGTGGGGAGAAGAAGCGAGAGCTGGAGCTGGAGCGCGGGGAGAAAGTGAATGCTTGCCAAGTCACGCGCTTTGGCCGGCTAAGCGTCACGGTGTTTTTGACCAGCGCCACCTCCTGGACTCTCGCATAAGCATCCTGTGATTCGGCACTATGGCCCTCAATCTGCTTACAGTTACAGGAGTATGCAAGTGAGTGTATATTATTGAGCTCTATGATGGCGCCTTGTGTTTTGTTGCTCTCACAGTGCCTTTCTCGTCCTCTGTTAATGCCAGCGTGAGGGGGTTTGTTTGTCCATTTAAGTTTGCAGTCCTCACCCTCAAAGACAAGTGGCTTGTGCTAACTCACACGTTCAAGCCCACAGTAATACCTCCCTCGCATAAAGTTGCCCAAGCTGAATACTCATTTTCGGCCTTGGCACTTGCCAAGGCTACATTTGAGTTCTCGTGAAGTGAGGGATTGTCTGGCGGTTGGATCCAGATTGGACACCAGCTGAGGGCCAAGAAACATCGCTAAAACGTTAATATGGCCGGAACCATTGGATTGGTCGCAGGTTTCCTTGGAGAGGGGATGCTACGCGGCTCATTCGCTCATATTCTGTCTACCAAGACCACCAACCGTGGTCTGCACGCCAGACAGCCAGTGCGTGGTTGACAAGATGTGGTTGTGCCAAGCGACTAGGTGGAATTATGGACCATGAATTACCAAAACAGTACGGGGACGGCAGGTGCATGTATGATTTTTCCCACCGTCAACACCTCGGCTTCTTGAGCTTTGTCAGCTTGTCTCACCCTGGTATCTGCCGTCTGACTACCGCTAAGCTATGCCGTCTCTTCAACCTGCGTGACAATGACTCGTCCATTTGAGGTTTGACGTACACTGAACCAGCTCTGATCATTAGCTCTACCCCACACGTTACAGATCTCGATGACCCCGGATTCCAGATTCTGTCCCCACGCTCTTCCGACAGTCACTCCCGTCCTGACATTTCGGCAGATCAGAGTCGAGACTCGTATCCGACGTGAGATCAAGCTATAAATCACCGCTGCTGCATAAATTCTGGGTAGCTCATTGTCGCAGTGATCAACATCCTCGTCAATCTTTGACAGGTTCCGACGCCTTTCATCTTGATTGTTTCCGAGTCCGGAAACCGTAATCTTTCGCAAGTCATGGCGGAGGAAAAGGGTATTTCCCAACTCAAAGCGACTCTGGCCCATGAAACAGCTCGTGAGGCCGCCAGCCGTGGTCAGGTTGCAACGGACCAATATGGTCGAGCCTTGGTCGAATTCGACCGTGCGGCGGAATCTCGCCTTCGACTGAAGATTGATCTCTACATCGTTCCTACTGTCTCGCTTCTTTATCTGTTCTGCTTCATTGACAGAGCAAATATTGGTATGTTATTCCTCCACTTCTTATCGTACACGGTCTAACTAACGATCCTGTCTCAGGTAACGCCAAGCTCGCCGGGTTTGAGAAAGACCTCGGCATGAAGGGGTACGACTACAATTCCCTCTTATCCATCTTCTACATCAGTTACATTGTCTTTGAGATTCCTTGCAATATGGCCTGCAAGTGGATTGGCCCGGGCTGGTTCCTCCCCGCCATCACGCTGGGCTTCGGCATCTGCTCGCTTGGCACGGCATTTGTCCACAACATCCACGCCGCGTCAGGAGTCAGATTCTTGCTCGGTGTGTTTGAAGCGGGTATGATGCCCGGCATCGCTTACTATCTATCCCGGTGGTATCGTCGCAGTGAACTTGCCTTCCGCCTCTCTCTTTATATTGTCATGGCGCCGCTGGCCGGCGCGTTCGGTGGCCTGCTGGCTTCGGGCATTCTGTCACTGGATCATTTCGGCGGCCTGCACACATGGCGCATGATCTTCGCTATCGAGGGCATCATTACCATCGGTCTCGCGTTGATTTCTTTCTTTACTCTTACCGACCGGCCTGCGACAGCTCGCTGGCTGACGCAGGAGGAGAAGGACCTGGCGATCGCTCGAGTCAAGTCGGAGCGTGTCGGAACCACGGAGGTGCTGGACAAGATCGATAAGGCTAAGACGCTCCGCGGTATCTTCAGCCCCGTGACGCTGGCCACCTCTTTCATCTTCCTGCTCAACAATATCACCGTCCAAGGCCTGGCCTTCTTCGCACCCACGATTGTCAGGACCATCTACCCACACAACACCGTGGTGTCCCAGCAGCTGCACACTGTTCCTCCATATGTTGTCGGAGCGTTCTTCACTGTGCTGTTCCCTTTCCTCAGCTGGCGATTTGACCGGCGCATGATCTTCTTCGTGATTGGGCCCCCTCTGATGATGACGGGGTACATCATGTTCCTGGCCAGCACTGACGCCATGGTCCGCTACGGCGCGACGTTTTTGATCGCTAGTGGAGCGTTCGCCTTTGGTGCTCTGTGCAATGCGAATTCATCGAACAACGTGGTGTCTGATACTGCACGGTCATCGGCCATCGGAACCACGGTGATGATGGGTAACATTGGTGGCTTGATCTCGACATGGTCCTTTTTGCCCTTTGACGCTCCTAATTATCATATTGGCAACGGTCTCAACCTGGCCACCTCGTCCATGACGATGATTCTTGGAGCATTGCTCTGGGGGTGGATGCGGTGGGATAACAAGAGACGCGAGAAGGTTGACGTTGACCAGGCTCTGGCCGGTCTGTCCCTGTTGCAGATCCAGGATCTTGACTGGCGCAATCCTGCTTTCCGCTGGCGTGAGTAAGAGGATGTCTGTGCTTAACTATAGTTTGCCTCGTGACCTTTGTCCGCTCAACGGTGCCTCAACTGAATAATGACTTCTTGTTGTATTATGAGATGGCAATGGGTTATATAAGAATTATCTATATGACTGTTTATCAAGACCTATTATATCCCTTAGTCAGCCACAGTCCTACTACCGAATTTCCATGGGTTGGTTGCCATCCTGTCCATGTGGCAATTGGGATAAACCAATGAGAGTCGGAGGTTTCGTAATTTCCCGTCCCCATTGCCATCCCCGCAGTGAGACACTCTCTCTCCAGTGGAGAATTCAACCCCAGACCCCAGCTTGTCGCAGGCACCATCCAGTAATAATTTCAACAACTCACAATCCTTATGGCTAATCTTCGGAGACACCGAGTTACCGACGGCCCAATCAGGCTAGGCACACGCCGAAGTCCGAACCATGCTTTTCTTGCGATCGTCGGTGGAATCATTGCGTCAAATTTCGATACACTAGTCACGCCGTCATCTCGTCGCTTCGGACAAGGACCGAATAGCGCCTTTGTCGCAGGCCCGTTGTATAGTAGTATAGTGAGTATGCACTGACCCGGCACAGCGGGGCTACTGCAGATGGGAGAGGATGATTTGAGAGCCGGCAAATGCTTTCCTAGGTTGCCCGATATGCTGCTCATGCTGATAATAGTTCGCCGTGTACTTGTGCGACTGGCGAATCAAACAAGACCATTAGAACTTCCGAGAAACGGAACTTCGAGTCGGATCCGAGTCTAGAGTGAATCTAGAGTTGAAGCATCCCGATCCCATGAGGCATTTCCAGCGCCAAGCTGTCAGTGGTGTTTCGGAACTTGACCGAGCCTTTATTATGCGGAGAAGGCCACAAAGACGCTGACATGAACTTGTTCGTTGAAATTTGTTTCTCAAAGTGACTGAGAAAGGAGAATGAATAGGATGAATGTGTGAGTTATTGAGTGCATTTCGTCTCTCTTGAAAACCACTCACAACATACAAGACACAGTATAGACCTCATGCTGAGAGTGGGACAAGGCTTTTGGCGCAGTCAAGAGCTCTCAAGCTCTCGACTCCAGACTTCTTGAGTAAACCTTAGATGGGCCAGAGAATAGGCACAAACCACACGATCTTGGCACCCCTTATGGGCCCAGTCGGTCACCCTCCGTTTCTCAACCAAAGAATCCAAAATGCCACTGACACTGAATCCCAGCCGCAAGGACCAATGCATCCACTTCCGGGATATCTTCGTGCCAGATATGCGACCAAAAGTTTCTTTCCTGGTCCTGATCTCGGAGATTTGGACCCCACGCTTCTACTCCACGTTTTCTCCGCAGTGTTCATGCATGGGGTATAAAGCTGGGGAGGGATCGTCTGTCCATCCCTGTTTGTCCCATCACACTCCTCAACTCTTTTTCCCCATCTCTCCCTCCGTATTCAGAAACGCAAGGACGAGACGATGGCAGGCGGTCCAAAGAAACCCGTCAACATCTTCCGGTTGAGAAACCTTAACGAACCCAAAGAAGTCTTCAACTGGAGGCTATGGTTCGCGGTTCTCTCATTCGGCCTTATGGGCGCTGCCCGGGGTGTGGATGAGGGTTTGATCTCGGGCGCTTTCAACTCGAAGGATTTCCAGCGGACGATCCACTACAGCCAGTACAGCCAGGTCGAACAGACGAACATCAAGGCGAATGTGTCGGCGATGGTGCAGATCGGTTCTGTCGGTGGTGCTCTCTTGTAAGTTCTAGATTTTTTGTACTGCTTGGGCAGCTTTACTAACCAGAGCAGCGCGTTCCTCGTTTGTGACCGCATCGGTCGTATCTGGGCTACTCGTCAGCTGTGTCTTCTGTGGATTCTTGGTATTGGCATCTTCTTGGGCGCAAACGGAAACCTTTCAGCCATCTATGCCGGTCGCTTCATTGCAGGATTGGGTGTTGGACAAACTGTCGTGGTGGGCCCGGTGTATCTCGCTGAGATTGTGAGTATACCTTCGCATACGGTCTGATGCAAGCGCTGACTAGTCGTGGCTAGGCTCCCGCGTCTATCCGAGGTCTCTGTACCTGTGTGTTTACTGGTTTCGTGTATCTTGGGATCGTCCTGGCCTATTTCACCAATTACGGCTGCCAGATTAACCTCGGAGACAACACACACAAGCGATGGGTGAGTGAGCCCGACAACTACCTGAGAATGAATCGCAGCTGACAATCCTCGTAGGAAGTGCCAACCAGTCTGCACATCATCTTCGCCGGCCTGATCTTCCTCCTCTCCTTCCTGCAATACGAGTCCCCTCGCTTCCTGATCAAAAAGGGCAAATACGAACACGCAATCCGCAATCTGGCGCGCGTGCGACACCTCCCTGAAGACCACGAGTACGTCGTGCAGGAGATCACCGCTATCGAGCAGTCCCACCAGGCCGAACTCGAGGCCACCATGGGCGCTGGCTGGTTCGGCGTCATCAAGGAGACCTTTTGCGTCCCGAGGAACCTGTACCGCATTTACTTGACCGTCATGTCGCAGATCCTCTCGCAGTGGTCCGGCGCCGGTTCCATCACCCTCTACGCCCCAGATCTCTTCAAGCTGCTCGGGATCACCGGCTCCAACGAGAGCCTCCTCGTGACCGGTGTGTTTGGTATCGTCAAGCTCGTCGCAGCCATCACGTGCGCCCTGTTCCTGGTCGACGTCATCGGCCGCAAACGCGCCCTGCTCATCGGTATCACCCTGCAGGCCATCGCCATGATCTACGTCGCTGCCTTCCTGACCTCCGTCCCGGAGATGGGCATCGTCGACGACTTTGTCCTGCCGGTGTCAAAGCAGGCCGCCAGCCGCGGCGCCATCGCCATGATTTATGTCTCCGGGTTCGGCTGGGCGCTGGGCTGGAACTCGATGCAGTACCTCCTCACGGCGGAGCTCTTCCCGCTGCGCATCCGTGCCCTGGCGACCTCCATCGCCATGACCCTGCACTTCGCCAACCAGTACGGCAACTCGCGCGCCGTGCCGAACATGCTGCTGTCCACCGACCACGGCGGCATCACGCCCAAGGGCACGTTCTGGTGCTTCGCGGCGGTGACCATCCTCGGTGGAGTGTGGGTGTTCCTCAGTGTGCCTGAGACAGCCGGCCGGTCCCTCGAGAGCATGGATCGCCTGTTCGAGCTGCCCTGGTACAAGATCGGATTGTACGGAAACAAGGACGCCGAGGAGCGGGATCAGGTGGTGTCGGAGAAGATGCAGATGGCGGAGGAGATGCACGGGACTGCGGCGCACCAGGAGACGGTGGACAAGTCGAGGGTGTAGCTGTAGCCCCCGTTCAAACATAATCTATCTGACTCATGTTGATGTGGAAACGCATGTTAATGGATTTATTTAATTCTTTTTGCATTTAATCCACGAATTTGACGGCTGAATCTGTATCTACTGGAGTAATCACAATCCGCGCCTTTCGCGACGCATCCTCTCTAACAGCCTGCTCATCTCTCTTTGCATATCTCCCCGCAGGAATAAGCACCTCCATCCCCTGCATCTCGTCCAGCTCCTCCCACGGGAGATCAACCCGAACCATAATCCCCCTCGGCCGGAAGAACGTCTCATTCCACCGCTCAACCTTCCTCGAAAGTCTTGACCCCGAATCTGCATCTATCTCCGCTGGCCTCTCCGAAGCAGCAATGATCAGATTCCTCTCCTCCCGATTCCTTCTCGCCTTGCGCGCTACCAGGACCGCTGGAATCGCACCCAGCACGCCGGCCATCATCCCGCCCAGCGCGAGGACGCCCACGCCCTTGGCGACCGTGGTCGCCCATTGTCGCGGGGAGAGCTTCACCTCCTCATTGAGGTCGTGGGTGAATTGGGTCCAGTGGTGCGGGGAGATGTCGTAGTGTGCGAGGAAGGGAGGGTACGCGAAGCCGGAGGTGAAGTAGTCGTGTTTCGAGGGGATTTGGATCCCGCGGTTTGGAGAGACGGTGGAACTTGAACTTGGGTGTTCCGACGACGCCGAGGAGGGGGGAAGTGGCTGTTTGGTGTCTGCTTCTTGTTCTTGTTCTTGTCCTGGCACCTTGGGTGATGCAGCTGGGGTGTATGGGGTGGTGGATCGGATAGAGCTGGGTTATTGTTTTCGCTGAGGAAGGTCATGTTCATGTTCGTGTTCATGTTCATGTTCACCCGGCCGATAACTGGGATTTGTGTGTTTGACTCTGTTGGATAGGCATTTCCGTGTATGACTTTGGCGGTTTATATTGCCATGACAAAGAGAAAGAGACTGGATGGATTCCTCCAGGCATCAATAGTATCGTCATCATCGATGGAATAGTATGGGACTATGACTCGACACGACAATGTAACTTTAATCTCGTCGAGGTCGATGACTGGCTTGAATTATTGCTCAGGCCATGGTGATAGGCTGGCATATGCCTCAGGCCGACGAGCCATACGAGATGCGGACACTCGATTTGCTCGATGACTCCAGATTTTCTTGTCTAGATCGTATAATCCCTGCTGGTCTCTCCAAGCCACCTTGTATTGCTCACAGCGAGGCTTATTCGCGATAAGATCAGCTCTCAAGCCAATAAGTGACCAATAAGTGATAGCGCAGAATGAGTCACCATGATGCTGGGTCTGGACGGTAGATTCGATGCCAAGAAGCATTCAAAATAACCAAACTAATCCAATCAAATCTACTTATCATCGATGGGAGTCTGCTAAGGTGTAGCCTCGCCTCACCGGCCTGTGTCTCACCCTGTCTTGGCACCACTTCTCCAACTCACCGAGCGGGGAACCTTCCCGCACTCCTCATCCCTATCTCTATCCTCCCCTCCTCACCCCCTGGTTCACAACACCACTCACAATGACCACTCGGTATCGCGTTGAATGTATGTCACACTTTGAATACAGTTGGAAGACTGAGCTAACCAATGGATAGATGCTCTCAAGGTATGCTGTCAGCCATTGAGGTTGTGCTTGGCTGACTCACTCCGATAGTCGCATCGTCGAGACCAGCTGGTAATTTCTCCTTCCTTCCTTTCAGGTGCCTTTCAAGGCGCAAACTGACATACTCTAGATTGAATGGATCAAAGTGAGTGCACCGCTTCAATCTTCACCGGAGGAAGCTCAT